TGCCAAAAGATCAGCCAGGATAGGACTAGAAAAACAGTAGGAAATTAGGTGTTAAGGAAGTGTTAATTACCACTAGGAAATCAGCCTCATAATAACCAATTTTTCTGGATTAGGAGTAGAAGCTTCTACAGATTTGCTGTTTATAGAGAGAAGGGATGATAGTTAGACAAGATCCAGGGAGAGCATGAGTGTTTGGTCTTTAAATTGTTTACTAGTTTTGGATAAAGAATAAGGATTACCTGAGCATATTGTTAGGAGGAGACAGGTGGAGAGAGTAATGGCCAATGCCAGAGAGAAGATAATTAATAGGGCACAGGCCCAAAATGGAATCTTGTTGAACAAGTAGACATACTTACTGAGTATGATGAGATTTTAAGATGGGAGAAGGGAATTTTGAGTGTTCATATTGGGTGACCTCAGTGTTCTCAGTAAATTATGAGCTACATTCATTGAGGATGATGTGTAGGTCAGGATAGAAAAAGAGGTGGGGTGACAGAGTACTGTAATCTTTGTGATCAGGAGTTTAATAAGTGAATACTAAAAGAAAGAGTTATTGAGTGACACGGATTTGAAATCAGTGAAGCTGTGGAAAAGTGGGCTGGAAGGAATAGTGGGAGTAATACCCTGTATACTCCTGAGTTCTGCCTGCTAGTCTGTGAACATAAGGGAGTTGAAGAAGCAATGGCTGACTTTTGAGTTGATGGCCAGGAACATAGTGCTAAGTCAACCAGAAGAATGCTAACTTTAGCTAAGGTTAAAATATGTTGAAAGTTATGTTTGAGGAAAAAAGGTTAAGAATATAGTTGACCCTTGAACAATGTGGGGGCTAGGGGTGCCAATCCCCTATGCAGTTGAAAATCTTCATATAACTTTTGACTCCCCCAAAACTTAACTATTAATAGCCTATGGTTGACCTGAAGCCTTACCAGTAACATAAACCATCAGGTAACACATACTTTGTATGTTACATGTATTATGTACTGTATTCTTACAATAAAGTAAGGTAGAGAAAAGAACATGTTATTAAGAAAATCATAAGAAAGAGAAAAATATTAAATGCATTTATAGTACTGTACTATACTTAATGATACCATAATTTTACATCATCTGTTTACAAGATGAATCTTCTATCTGAAATGGAGGACAACCACAGCTGGTGACCTCAATCTTCAGTGCATAGCAAGCAATTCAGCTTTTTCTTAGGACTTTTCTCTGCTTCTTGGGAGTACTTCCAGCATCACTGGTGGCACTTCATGTGGGTCCCACGATGTTATTCAAGATTTATAGTATTGCACTAAACATGGTGAAAAATACGGGAGAACTTCAAGAAATGGCTTTTTACCGCAATATGCAATTTACTGGAGAAACGAACTGCTTACTTGGCGTAACGCAGTGTTTTAAATGGATTCTTGCAATACTTGAGCTCGCCACAGTAGCAATAGGAGATGGCTATGAAATTATTACAGTAGTAGAGTATGTACTGCAATTAATTTATGCAGTTATGATTTAATACTGAATCTTCACGTTTACATTTCTCTCAACTGCAAATGTTGCCATGTCTGGTCTGTAAGTGTGTGCATAAGTTTTGATAAATTTTAACTTTTTATAATAGATTTGTGTATATTTTATGATAGTAAATGATAAAATAGATTAATAACATATTTTTTCTTAATTTTTTTATATTTCAAGGCTATATGATTTGTCTGCAAGTTTTTTCAGATTGTTGTAGATCTCCAAAAATTTGCAATATATTTATTGGGAGGGGAAACATGTATAAGTGGTCCCATGCAGTTCAAACCCCTATTGTGCAAGGGTCAACCGTATAAGTAATTTTTTTCACAATTAGTGCAAAAAGGAGAGTTACCTACCAGTAGAAAATAGGACGGTGGTATATATAATATAGACCAGTTTAACTTAAAAGTTCTTGGCTAGAGAATAAAACTGGTTTTTATTAGTCATAATTTAAATGGAAAATTTGAAAACATAGAGTCTTTTTTAATCTCTAAGAGCTTAAAAGTTCAGCTCTTTTTTCATATTAATATGTATAAAATAGGTTTTTGAAGATCAGTAAAATTTTAATTTCTTAGATTTTAAAAAGATACCTATTTTAATTAAACCCTCATAATCAAAATGCTGCAGGTAAACTATGCACATAATCATAAATCATTGTTTCAGTGTATATATTGAAGAATTATGATATTTGAAGTGTAAGTTGCATTAACATTGTGGACTTTTTACTCATTTTATTTGAAATCTAGGTTGCAGAGTATTAATTAAATTTGAGTGAATGTGCATCATGGCCCAGAGAGATGGGACTAGAGTGAGCAGGACACATTTGGTACTGTGGCACATACACACATGGGCCTTCCAACTTTTTAGTTTTTGTTAATCTGGGTATGTTGAATTTGAGATGCTGGCAAGCTAACAGGTAGAATTGCAAAGTTAAGAAATGGAAGCCTAATTATGTATAATTTTGATAGTAAAATAATGAAATTTTAAAATGTGCTTTTCCATGTTTTTCTTTAAATTATCAGTAATTTTGGTTTGGCCGGTATTCACACACAAATTATTTACCCAATGTTGACAACTAGTAGATTCATATATTCTTTGTATGTTTGCCTAACCCTTTTTGGTGAAGATTAACTGAGTGTATAAACACCTGCCTGCATTATAGATGTACTACCAATCACTCGCTACTTGAGAAAACTCAAAACTTTGAAAACCTTTTTTGTTATTTCACACAAACTTATACCAAAAATGGAGGTAAAGAGAAAAATGTCTACTAAACCACAACAAATAATAACTTGACAACCTGGTCTTACAGACTTGCATTGACTTAAAAATATGTTAAATTTATTTAGTCTGTTGACTAGATAATAAAGTCATATGATTCAAAAATTCACATTGTTTAAAAAAGTACCCTGCCTGACCCATCTTCCATCTGTTTCCCCCACCCTGCCTGCTTAGCAGTTCTATATTCTGACTTGATAAACATGAATGACAAGTTGTTTGCTGAAGTGGCATGGCATTAGTGAATAAATAATGGAATGTAATAAACCAT